TAACCCAGAGAGCATTGACGTCGTGTTGGGCTGAGTCGAAGGCAATGCATGGCCTTCTTTGCCACTGAGATCAGTTTTTGATAGCGTTGATTCTGAGCGGTCGCTCTGTGCATTGAGCGGTAAACCTAACGGACAGTTTGAGGAGTGAGGAGTTGGCGAAATGAATGTACATGTGGATGCGGACGATGTAAGCATGGCGATATTCTCACCTAATAACGGACTGCAGTACTGCATCTCGTATTTCACTAAATTTTCCTGTGCTAAACCCAAGCACCTGTATAGTCCCATCCAAGCTGCGTGAATCTGGCCAGGGTCTGAAGATTCCCGAAGAATGCTCAAAAACGTATCTCTCGGGTCTAGTGTTTAAAGGTTCAGTCCATAGGACCACAAAAAACCGGTGGACCGAACTGAACCGGACCATGGTCCGGTCTTTTTTTCAGTTGCAGTTGCCCCAATTTGGGGTTGGTCCGGTTGCCAGTTGCCTCATTTCGAAAATCTTTTAAAACCATTCAAAGACCGGTTTTAATTGGTTGCAACTGGTTAAACGGTCACGTGCGTTACATAGCCTTGTAACCACATTTATTGCCTTTTATTGGGTTTTTGTTTCATCAAAAACGGTTAAGAACTGAGAAAGATATAACCAAATCCATATTTTACCCGAGTCTCTACAAGATGTAATTCGGTTTCAGTCATAGCTATGTCAAATCTTCATTAAATCTCTTGAAAATTGGTAGAATGACGGGTATTTATATGCTTTACTATTTTATATAACCCGTTTATTTTTCAGAGTAATAATGGTTGAGATACAAATGGTTTATATTGGTATAATAAATTATACGCAAAAAAACCGGTCTGGATCGGTCTGAACTGGTATCATGGACCGCAAAAGACCGGTCCTAGGTGGTTCGGTTCGGTTCCCTCAATATCTGGGTTGGTCCTGGACCGGTTGCGGTCCACGGTTGCGCGTTTTCAGGGCAAAAAACCGGACTGAACTGAACCTTTAAACACTACCTTGAAGTAAGATGTTCTCTCTGGAACTAAGGCTGAGGAGCACTGCAAGAATAGCTGTAACTCGCCTACTATGCGTGTCACTTCCCCTAAAAGAGTCAGAGTCAAGGCCTAAGTCGGCTGTATTCCTCCTTTCTCTACTATCTTGCTAGGCAACAGAGTCTGCTTAGATGCTAATGTGGTAGCTCGCAACCAAATCGAAGTTTCTTTGTTATATTGCCGAACTAACTGTGCCATCGGGGAATTCTCGTATCCTCTCTCTGCTCCAGGTCGGAACATTTGGAAGGACATGGTTTCTGTAGTCGAACTCATGAGACTAATAGTTGGTGATCGTACAACAGAGACTTGTTCGTTTGCGGATGGGTGAGACGTGAATGAATGAGAAGTGGTGTTGATGTGTAGTGATATTGAAGGGGAAGAAAGAATCTCTCCTGCAATGTTGACGTTCGTTGTTAGCGACATGGGGGCCGAAGTCTTGAATGTGAACACACGATAGGAAGAGGATGAGGGTTGACGCTTCAAGGTTGGTTGATAAGGTTGAACACTTGACGTCGCTGGTGATGCGACGGCGATAGAATGCAGAGGAAGGAATCAGTGTTGTTGAAGGCTTGAGCCACGGTCGAGAGCTACTGGTCTCCCTCCTCTGAGAATGGAATAGTCGTTCTGTGGAGTTGGTTTTGACTCAGTAACTTTTCGATTAGATGGTCACAAAATGGAGGGAGCTGTTGACGTGGTTTTCGTTTTCAAAGTTAAGGGGTTTTTTGTTGCAGGTAAACTAGCAAGTTTGATGGGAGAGGAGGATCATGAACAATCAGAAAGGACTGGTTGACTTAATGAAGAAGGAGGAGCACCTCTTATAGGCCTCGAACGTCTCGATCCCTCAGATCATCCTTCCCTTGTTTCCACTCTAAATTCCTCTTCCGCTGTAATGTTCGAGCTGGCCAGGCTGTCGTTGGATCCCCACAGTGTCCACCTTTGTGGGAACCTGTTCGAGGTGCAACATTGTTTATGTAGCTCGAATAGCAATGACAAGGTGTATCTGGCGAGCTTGTTGTGATGAAGTTGATACAATGGTGTGAAGACCTCTGATGAGGGTTTGATCTGAGTCTTAAGAGTCGTTCTCAATACACAAGTAGCTACTGATGCTCTGGAAAGCCACAAGCGTAGGTGTACTCTCCTTTCTCGGAATGCCGCAGAAAGGTGCAGTGAGATCTTCTATGGAAGATCAAAAGGAAACAAGAAATATTCAGCTTTAGGAGAGTCACAGGCTCTCCACAGTAAGTCACTATGCTACTGACCTTTAATACTATATCCCAGCCACGCAAGTAGTCGAGTCGTGAGGATGATGCTTGAAGGCTGCAAGCTGTTGAAGGAATGATGGTAAGAAAGATAGATTGCTAAACATGTGACTGAGGGAATTGTATGTAAGTGTGACTACTGTGACTAAGTGATGAGAGAAGCAGCATAGAATCGGAAATATAATAGTAATAGAGGGATGGAGGAGTCATTCAGTAATCCTACCCATTACACAGAGTAGGTAGAGGCAGTGCCATGTTGGGTAGGAATGATAAGAGTGTTGAATCTAAACCCTAGATAGTGATGAAAGATACTCAGTCTCAGTTACAACAGACTGTATTGATCCTGTACCTAGATAGTGATGAAAGATACTAGGTACAGTAAGTAAGGGTATTCTGAGTGCGAATAGAAGTGGCTCACCTCAGTCTCAGCTACAATGGACTGAGGTGCCCATAAGCTAACTACGTGTTTATATAGTAATGTATGAGTGGCTAAGGGGATAAAGGAAAAAGAAAGAAAGAGAACGTAACAAAGGGGTATGCATGGTGTCGTGACATCCCAACACTCCTCCTCACCATGGATACTCCTCCTTGCATGGAGTCTTGGCGGGTTACCCGAGTCCTAGGAATCCACAAAAGCGGGTAAATTTCTTGGTGTCTAAGGCTTTTGTAAAAATGTTGGCAATGTTATCATTGGTGTTGATATAGGAAAGGGAGATTTCCTTTGATTGGACACGCTCACGAAGGAAGTGGTGTTTGATGTCGATGTGTTTTATGCAGTCATGTAATGCTGGATCTTCCGAAAGGTTTATAGCAGCATTATTGTCGCAGCAGATGGTGGTTGGTGCAGTAGGAGTGTGATCGATACTGTTGAGAAGCGTATGTAGCCAAATGCCTTCTTTTATGCTTCGAAAGCTGCAGTATATTCTGCTTTGCAAGATGAGGTGGCCACAGTTTTTTGCTTTCTGGCTTGCCAGGACATGATGCCTGAGCCTAATGTGTAAGCATGCCTGCCTACACTTCTCCATGTGTCAAGGCAGTTTGCCCAGTCTGAGTCTGTGAATCCCAGTAGAGAGATTTTGTTTGTTCCACCGAGGTGAAGTTGGAGTTGTCTTGTGCCAGACCGGTAGCGTACCACATGTATTGCAGTGTTCCAGTGGGCGTAAGAATAACAATCGAGGTATGGCAATAGTTGTTGGACAGAATATGTGATATCCAGACGCGTGCCTATTGACAAATAGAGTAGACAGCCTATGAGCGAGCAGTATGGGAGTTTTCTGATTTTGTCCAATTCATTCTTGGGCATGTTCTTGTAATTGGAGCGTCGAAGTTTTAGTCCAGGGTCCATCGGTAATGAGGATGGGGAGGCTTTCTGTTGACCAAACTGAGCAACAATTTTGTTGATTAATGCTGTCTGTGATAGCATGACGGTTCAGTTAGGCCTGTCCCAGTTAACTGCTATGCCAACAACGAATCAGATGTTACCAAGATCTGAAATGGTCCAGGCTTCACACATTTGATATTTGAAAATCTCGTTTTCATTCTTGTTGCTTGCAATAGATAGGAAATTGTCGACATGCACTGTGCAGATTACGGTCCCTGTGTCAGTTTTTCTGTAGTAAATGCATGATTTGCAGGATAAGCGGTTGAAGCCCCAAGATAACATCTTTTGATTCATTGTGATGTTCCAGATGCGTCTGCTTTGCTTCATTCCATAGAGTCCACGTTGGATTTCCCATACCCAATCCTCTTTGTCAGGCTCTTCGAACTCGAGAGGTTGTTCCATGTATTGATACTCCTCTTCAGGGAGTAATCTGTAAAGGAAGGCGGTTTTTATGTCAATTTGTTGAGCGTCCCAATTGAGAGCGGCTGCTATATGAAGAAGTATACACCATGACACCATGCGCGCTGTAGGTGAGGTCGTTTTGGTAAAGTCTTTACTGTAGATTTGCTCGTAACCTTTGAAGACAACACGGACCTTCCAACGAGTTGCTTTTCCTATTTCGTCACGTTTGATTCTGAAGACAGGCATCCCTTTTCTTACTTTGTGTCCTTGTGGAACGTCTGATCTGGGGATTAGTTTGTATATGCCCATCTCCTTGAGTGATTTTAATTCATCTCGATATCCCTCCTCCCATCGTTTCGCGTCTGCCGATGCCTTTGCCTCATTCCAATTTTTCAGCTCGTCCTCGCATTCTAGGGTCGATGGATCAATCTGCAGCATTTCAGATATAGCGGAGAGTACTTGATGGATGTGATTGCCCTCGGCATCACTGAGATTCAGGGTTTTAAAGATCTCCATCAGTTCTGCAATAGTGGCGTTCTCGACAATTTCTGGAGCGTTGCGCATTTCCTCCTCTTGAATGTCTTGAAGCGTCTTTTTGTGTTCGGCTCGTGCTTCACAAAGTCTGATGCCGGCGTCTGTGGATTCTTGGACTGCTTTTTCAGTGTCTGTGGGTTTTGGTTTGTACAATTTTTCAGTGATTTGTGAGGAGCGTCTGATTTGAGTATCATCTTGAGTGTTTTGAGAGGTCTTATCAGTGCCCACCTAATTCCTGCGGATTCCGGTGGATTCCAGAGGAATGAAATTTAGCAGGGAGGCCTGCTATTTTCTTCATTCCAGTGCTTTACCATTCCGGCGGAATTTCGGCATTCCGGAATTGTGACCGGAATGGTCCCTGGATTGGCAAAAACGGAATGCAACCAGAATCTGGTTTGTTTGGCAATGGCTTTCACGCTGGTCCAAATACAACCCTCTCTCCTCCCACCACCACCGTCGTCGCTCCACGTAACCACCCCCCTCACGTTGTGAGTGCCCGCCATGGGCTAAGCAACGTGAGGGGGCTCACATCGACCACCACGCCACTCACCCGAGATCCAGCAATGTCGCCAACACGACAATGCTGTGCCACGTCACCATGGCACACGAACCAGGTAAGCACCCACAACCCCCTCTCCTCCCTCATTTCTCAACACAAAAACCAGGTGCCACGTCCACCCATAGCTGTAAGACTATGCCTTGTATATTGGACTAATCCACCCATACCTATTGCATAGAGGATGGAAATATCCAGGCTCTTTGGGATGTGGACTGGTCCAGGGAGCCCTCCACAGTATAATTCAGGGTATCCCTAAATATCCATTGATGTCCTGTATTTGTTTTTCAGCCAATATGTCAATATCTGCAAACAAACCTCTGTTTTGGGCTCAACAACAATGTTTTTGCTTCTGCGTATGTTTCTCCCACATAAAAGCCTTGCAAATCATTCCAAATATATCCTGTATGTTATTTACATTTAATAGAACAGATTCCTCATGTGTCCGTATGTCAGAAATAGATGGATTGGGTCAACCGACTTTGGATGACCTTCGAGAATTGATGCTCCCGGACAACAAATGTAAACAATTCCAAAAGCTTGTTCTGAGGAGACATTTTGTGTCCTACAGATTGTTCTCCCTAGACACAACCTCTGAGACTTCACGAAATATATATTTGATATTGTTCAGACCACTTCAGATAGTTTCCTTCTGTCAAATCTGACCGAAATAGCTGGATGCAACAAACCCTTTATGGATGACTTTAGGCCTTAGACACCATTGGTACACAAATGTAAACAACACTCAAATCAAATTGAAAAAAAGTCTAGCTACTGTGCCACACGAGATACAGTAAATAAAAATACTAAAAAAGAACCTAATAAGATACCTACTAATAGACCGTTTGAACGACTATATTCACTGAAGAGTATGTAGCTACAGTTGGCCCTTTTATACTAAGACAGAGGGGGTTTACGTAAGGTGGTAGAGGTGCACGCGTAAGCTAGAGATGTACGCATAATCGGTAGAGTACGCGTAAGTGTTGAGGACACGTAATCACTTTGAAGTAGAGACAGATGGGGTAAGAGAATGGTAGAGAGTCTGAGATCTGTAGATTAGATGAGACGTATGAGTGTGATGTGTCACATCCGTTACATACGCCCTCCAGGGATCCTGCAGGGATTCCTTAGTTCTTTTTAAACTGCGATGGCGGATGCACCAGCAGAAGAGTCGCCGTCGCGTTTTCTGAAGTTGGAGGTGGAAGAAGAGGGGTGAGAAGTGGAGGTATGCTTCTTGTATTTCTTGAATTTTAATTTGAGTGCCCGCTCTTCTTCCTCAGCGGCGCTCTCAGCGACCTTCCATAACAATCCGTCAACGATCTTCATCTGCTTGGGGGTCAATGCGGAGCCACTGGACGACTCGGAGGTCGGCGCGTCTCTGCGCTTGGTGGGCACGGATTTGGAGGCCCATCCAACGAGCTCCGGGGCAATATTGAAGTCAGAGATGTCGAGAGGATCGCCAGCGAGATCGTAAGTTCCCAATGCGTCGTCATAGCACGCAAACTTCTTTTTCTGATTGTGGTCTGCCCAGATGTTGAAATTGGTGGTGAAGTGTTCATAACCCGCAGGTAAGCCGTAGCGGGGGCGTTTTTCCTTGCGCAAGCGTGTGTCGGTGAGGCAATACAACGCGACCTGTCCGACGTGGTAGGAGGTGGTCATTTTTAAGATGGGGTCAGTGACAGTGATGATGGTGAGGCAGGGGCGATCGAGGCAGCGGTGAGGGAAGGTGGTGTGCTTGGTACTTTTGGGAGTGTCGATGACTGCGACGGGGGCAGCAGGAGCGTTGGGAACGACGTCGTTGGTAATGATGGGTGCTGGGGTTACGTCGGTCATTGTGGTCAAACAAGTTGGCTGTTGAGGACGGCAAGGTTTTTTGCGAGAGCTGGTGGGTCGGGATAAATGAGCTGGGAATGCTTTTGGCGAGGTGTTCAGGTGAGTTTTAATAGTGTCTTCCAGTGCGATAAAGCCGATAAAAATTTGGGGATCGTCCGCAGGCGGTGTACCTTGTCCCTTAGGCAATTTCGAAATGTCTTCAACCCCAAGGAGGTCGAGGTATACAGGCAGCGCGTTTAAGTGCGCAATTTGGTAATATGGGAGCCAGGTGATGTCCCCAGCTTTCCATTGGACCTGAAAGACCGCATTCTCCATAGATCCCGAGTGCACGATGATTTTTTCAACGGCCCACTCGCCCTCCTGATCGCTTTCACCAAGTTGAAGTTGGGTGTCCATACGTCCTGGGAACAGCTGATCGTCGTTCGGGACGTGGATCCTAAGTAGCGCAGCGTGAAATACATTATGTACGCCTCGTTGCTTCAAATGCGAAGGCAAGTCAATGAGGAATGACTGATTTTTAAAATCTTTTAGTATTTTATAAGGCCCAATGAACTTCGGAATGAGTTTCCGTGCTAAGCCCTTGGGGAAGGAGATGTTTTTGGTGGATAGGTAGACCAGATTGTTCTCCTTAAAAGGTGCGAGCTGACGTTTCCTATTTGCATTGTGCGTTTGTTTGACGCGTGCTGCAAGGATGCTGTCGTGTGCCGCAATTAGCGCTAATTTCCTTTGAAGCGCGAATGTCCGAACTGAGGGGTATTCCTCAGTGCGGGCTGAGTTCCATATCATTGACTTGGGCATTTGTCCCGTGTTCAAGAAGAAAGGTGCGTAACCTGTACTCTCCGATCGTGCTGAATTAATTGCAAACTCGATGGCAGGTAATTTCACCACCCAGTTGGTTTGCTTTTCACCGACACACTGGCGTAGCATCTGGGTGATGGTGCGGTTAGTGCGTTCCGTGGACCCATCTGTCTCAGGGTGGTACGTGCTAGACATCTTTAATTTTGTCCCAATTAGTTTGTGAAGGTGTCCCCAGAAGATGCTGGTAAATAGAACATCCCGATCACTGATAATGTGTTTTGGGAGACCATGTAGTTTGTAGATTTGTTCAAACATTAGCTCTGCTATTTGTCGAGCGGTGTAGGTTATCCGACTAGGGATTAAGTGAACCATTGCCATTAGTAGACAAATTACAACTGTTATGGAATCAAAGCTTCCGTCGCGATTTTTTGATTCCGGCAGAGGTCCCACAAAGTCTATGCCTATTGCTTCCCAAGGCTGGGTAGGCACCGGCAAGGGGTTCAATAGGCCATAAGGCTTTTGATTGGTAGGTTTACTCCTTTTGCAAGTCATACAACTTTCACAGAAGGCTTTAGTGTCTGAAACCATAGTTTTCCACCATAGGTGGTCCCTAACATAGTCAAGTGTTTTGCTAGTGCCCAGATGAGCTAATAGTGAGTGCGCTTTGGACAGTACGATTTCACGCGCATTTCTTCCTCGGATCATGATATTCGGAATACAGAGCAGTTTGCGTTCCTGATTCTTGAGGTACACAAGTCCGTTATCAGCTTGAAAATTTCTGTATTCTCGGGGTTTGTCCAAGATGATTTTAAACAAAGGGTCATCACTAAATTTTCCCTTTAATTCTTTGAGGAGGTCAATCCCTTCAAGACTTTCAGAGATCACGTTTATCAATGACGGGTAATCTCTTGGCGCACTTTCCACGCTTGGCGCACTTTCCATGTTGTCCATGGGATCGTCTCGATCG